AATCGTTATATTTACGGACAATCCAGTAATAATTTCGTATCCAATATATTTTTTGTTTGTGGTACACTTTTAATAATCAACAGCTTTCAGTATGTTTTAATGTACAATTAAAGTAGCATTTGTTATCTCCATTAATGATCAGATCTCCTTGTTCTCAGAAACTGGTTTCTCTGATCATAAACGATTACACAATGAATAATTTTTTCACAGAAGATAGGTAACTTTTCTAACTGTGTTGCTGTTTTACTGATACTCCAAATGTAACGCAATGGTCTTAATGAGCCAAACACGTTCTTTGCAAATGAGTGTGGTGGGTCTGTTGTTTCATAGCAAAGTATCTCTTCAGTAACTTGTTCTATACATTCACGATGCATATCTTAGTAGTACTTGTCTTTTAAGAAGCTCAGCAAACTTCAACTTCCTACACACAGGAAATTAGAAATATTTCCCCGTGTTACATCCTACGGGTATACCAATATAAGACCCTATAAAAGTTTAAATTAAAATTTGCACTATATGTAACCAGCTCTTAAGTCCTAAAATATGTATGAAATCAAATTACAATCATTTGACATCATTCTATTAAAAGGAGTGTAAAACTAAATGCTTTTTACAATTCTCACCAATCCTAGTCTCTGCATTTTTGACACATTCGACAAAATGTTCGCTAAACAAGGGTGCGGTTATCAACGCGAGTCCAGAACAAAATCTGATGGCTTTACAGCTCGCGTCTCTCTAACTTTTCACTAAGGGGCAAGTATGGCTTCAAAGTTATGTCTCTAAAGAAACTGTTCTGCTGCATTTGGCGGACAAATGAAACAATGTGCTTGTTTTGTTTTGTTTTTGCTTTTTATGAACTTGAAGTCGAGCAGTTTTGTGGAACTGACGTTTTAGCACTAGTCCATCAGGTTCTTCGGAAAGCTTTTTTTAACTCAAATGAAAGGTTAACACTCGAAACATCTGCTGTACATGCTCGCTACAGAGGTTAAATAACCATTATCATCTTCAAGTCATGTTTAGCTTAAATTGCAGATGTGCTCTCTGGTCAGACTCCCGAGAAAACGCCGAGAAAGGACTGGGATTGGATGGAAGAAAATTTTTGTTAATATAAATTTCTGAAACATTCAGGGCCTGTAACGTGAGATCCTTGGCTGAAAGGTTACTTCACTAAGTTGAAGAATGTTGCAGTTTTTAGAGGCGTGCTGATTTGTCTGGAAAACAGAAGAGATAAAAAATCGTAACCTGATAACCAGCTGAAGGCACACTTTCCAGAAGATATACTCCTACTTGGAGTGAGTAAAGTTTTGAAATTTTTAACCGTTCTTATTCAAAAATAAAAATATTTTGAGGGAATGAGGAGGGATTAACTAAAGGGAAAGGAGGCAGATGAAAAAACTGACTAGTTGGGGTTTACTAGAAAGGTGGTAAAATAATGTACAAAGGAACCCTCAGTGATTAAGTTTGTGTGGAAAATAAAAATTCACTTGTGAACAAATTTGTACCTCTTTCAAAATTTTTGGGAAAAACTGGTCTATTGCATCTTAGACAAAGATGAGTGTCATGTATTGAGCACAATCAGTTCAACAATGAGTTGCGATATCAGTCTTGAAGTATTCCTTGTGCTGTCAGTTTCTTAATGACCTCCTTAACTGCATCTTGAATAGCTTCCTCGCTCTCTTTATAGTGTTTTACTTTGGCTTTGATTCCACTTTCAATNTAATGACCCACTTAGTCCAGAATTGCACTTCCCAAAATGTGACAGAAAATAAAGGTGCAAAAAACTGAGGTTCGTACAGGGGTATTCTAGTGATGCGTGATTAGCTGATTTTATTTTCCGTGAAACGTGAATTTAGGAAATTATTCCTTGTAATCCGTGACCTGAAGGTTTTCCGTGACCCATGAAGAACTCGAATTATCAACCAATATTCGTGATTTCACCACTCTATTCTTACGTTATTTTGAGACTCAAGTTCTCCGAATGGTTAGAGTCGTCTATCGAGAGTGACTTAGGTTTGTGATTTGCAATATGGAGCCTTGACTTAGCCTTTCATGATTTTGCTTTCTTCAAACACTCTTTCTAGTGTAAGAGCAGACTATTAAAAAGAGTACCTTACTTGCTTATTTTCGTGATTCGGGAAACAAAATTTTTATATCTGTGATCCTCTATTTTTTCTATTCATGAACCATGCCAGAGACCCCCTGTACAACCCTCAAAACTGAGTGGGGCCAATTGAATTGTGCATTAACAGTTCTATTTAATGGGAGCTCTATTTTTGTAACTTTCTGTGACTTAAATAGTTGTTGAAAAGTATCAAATTTTGGCATTTTTACCGATGAAATTAAAGAAAAAGAAACAAGGGTACCCTGTAACTCTGAAGTTTACCTTCCTGCTTATGATTGACTCCTTTGTAGTGCTGCCAGTCTTTTAAAAGACCAGGAACCTTCAAAATGTTGGCAACAACAGAAGCTGCCATAACACTTGCAAATGGTCGCCATGCTTGGGTTTTTGATTTACTGCCATCTGCATAATCTGATATCCCTTTTATGACAACCCACTCCATCTTCAGGTCATGAGCAGCGGCAAATACACCTGAATGACCCCCACCAAAAAGATAATATTAAAAAGAAGAACTTGAATTAGGCTTTCCCTGCAATCCTTTAATACCAATTTCCTTTATTTTCCAATTGTCTTTATAATCCTAAGGTGGTTGGCAGCAGTTTCCAGCACTTTCAAAGACTTAGATTTTGATGGGTCATTATATCCACTATTCATCTTAAATCTAAAATCTTGGTTTAAAAAACAACCCAATCATTGGTGAACATGCTGTTATCATTTTCGTGACACAAAAGGTTACCTTACGGCTAAGTGACAGTATGACCTTCTGAGGACTCCTTTAATTTTAGATTTTAGGTGGCCGAACACAGTTTTCAAGAGCTTATACCTAATTCACCATTACTTTTAAGCTATATATGCTTTGGCGCCCGTTTTTTGCANTTATCAAATCTTGATTAACAGGATAACATGCAAGTTTTGGGCAAAGTTAAAAAAAATCCGTAAATAGGGTTCAGAGCCATCTTAAATTTTTGAAAATATAGGAAAAGATCCCTACCTTCACCTTCCATTTCGATTGCAATCGCTTCACGGTACCTTTCCAGGAGCTCGTCGCGTCGCCATTCAGAGTTAACAAGCTCAGGTCCGCTCAAAATCTCGCCATCGCGATGAACTTCTATCTTCTCGTTTACTTCCGGGTTTGCCAAAGGTGCCTTCCAACCGTCGGCAGCGTGATTGATGAGGTCAGCAAAATCACGGCTAACAGGAGTTATAATGCCTCGGTGTTGCTCTCGATCATTCATCACTTTTTTGTGAGCGTAAGTTGTTAATTTTGCTGAAATCACCACATCTCCTAGTTTGACTTTTTCGTAAGAAAGACCACCACAAAAACCGACGCAGAACAAGGCTTTCGGTTGCAGTATTGGAATGGCCGTTTTCACCTTGCTAAGGGCAGCACCCGGACCTGCAGCTCCCTCAGAGCATCTCAGCAAAGAAACGTTCACTTTATCTTTAACATCACCCATATCTCCAAAGTACACGATGCCAAGACCACGGTTATAACTCTTACACCCGTTTCTTAGGAACGCGAAACAACTCAAGAATTCGCAGTCCTTTGCAGTGACTAACAGAACATCGGTCGGGATTTTGACGCTTTTCCAGGGTGCTATCGTTTGTGGTAGGTCACTTAACTCTGGAATAGTAATACTTAACTCTGGTGGATTACCATAATTGTGTGATAAATTCTGTTCGAAGTCTTCCTCTTCAGACATTATTTTGCAAACCGAAGAAGGTAACCCCACTTACTACTATCCCATAAGCACCCGCGGTAATTTACGCGGGAAAAAAATCAACTTAGTCCCAGTCCCCACGGTCTACCCGCGTAATCTAGAGAGCACAACGAAGAGAATAGTTCTATTTGTACTCTTTTCAAAACAAAAATAAGACAAACTGAACAAACGAAACAAACAAGCAACGAACCAACCAATAAAAAACGGAATGAAACCGCGAAAGCTTGAGTTCTTTCTGGAAGAAAACGTTTTGGCGGTTCCTAATTGACCTGGACCTAATTTTTTCTCAGAAATTCTAGCACTTGTGTGTGAATTTTCATTCAATTCAATGATAGCTCGTAAGGATAAGAAAAAGCGAGCGATGCGAGCGCGAAGCACGCGGGTTTGGAAGCGGGGAGGCGAGCGAAGCGAGCCAAATGAAGAACCCGTCAAGTCTCTCGCTCTGCGCTGGCGCTGGCGTCTCTCGCGATTCTATACGCGCGTTCAGCAATCAAATAAAAATATGAGAAAATAGAGGGCTGTGAGCAGTCTAGCACAGTTTGCACTCCCTTATTTGAGCTCAACAGAGATGGGCTGCCATCACGGGAGCAGATATTTGCAGACCAGGGGTCCTTGAAATAACTTTTTTCAAGGGTTAGAAATAATGGCTGTCTTCTCTCATACATCTTAGTCAAAAGCAAACTAAATTGTTAATCTTTTTTATTAATCATTCTTTTTAACAACGACCATAAAAACATGCATAAAAGTTCTAAGAGCTTCAAACCAAGTACTATATGCAAAATCTCGATAGGAAAGGCAGAAACTTTGCAAAAACATGGCTTTCCTGTTTAAGGTTCGCAAGGTATTGTGGTATAAAAATGAACCGCTGTCATCTTTTTCCTAGGGACGTAACGTGAACGTTGCCTTATTTGGGCTAAAATCGGGCGAACCGATAACAAGTCAGATGGGTGAATCTACTCGTACAGCTAAGTAACTTACTTCTTATTACCTTACTCAGGCGTAAACTGTAATAAAAAACTGAGAAAATAGTACAAACACAGGCAACTGAACCAACTGGACATTTTAGGAAGCATGAAAGTTATTTAAGTTCCTGGCTCCCAAAACATAGAACGTTCAGTTTTTGCGACTGTGCATTAACTTAGTTTTCTTTGGCGAGATATCAAATAAGCCAATGACAACTAACAAAAACCACAGGTTTTCTTACATTTTCTCCTAAAATAACGTTCATATAAGTGACACATATTGCGAGACTTGTACATTTCACACAAACGCGCGCTTCGGTGAGAATCCTTACAGCTGGCTGTGGAAGGACCATTTGGATTGGTGGGACACTCTGTAGGATCGCCCCTCCTGCAATACAGAGGCTCCAGTTTGTATATTTCACATGTAATTCGAACAATAGCTAAGGTAAAGTTATTCAGTGCCCTCGATATACTTTATTTCCTCGAGTAAGCGCCCCGGTATGCCCGATTTCCGCCGCTCTCTCGCCGATCTCTCTTCTCGAGTGTTTTTGGCGGAGGAGCGCGGGCTCCCCTGCCAAACAACAGCTGTTAACCGAGCCCAGCGCCCAGAGAGGGGAGGGGAGGGGAGGGGGATTCACACTTTCTCTTGTCACCATTTCACGACCAAACCAACTATAATCTCATTAAATTTTATTTTGTACACTCATGTATTTTTTGTCTAGCCTCGTTCACAGATTAAAATTGAAGTAACAAACCAGAGAGCATTGATTTGTATCAAGAGATTATCAAGGTAAGAGAGTGAATCCCCCATATAGGCGTTATACCCAAGGTAATACCTCTTAAGTTATTTTTAGACATTGTACCCAGTTCTTCGACTTTCTCGCAACTAGCTGAGGCGAAATGGTGGGAAATGTGGCCAAAAGTCATTTTATATGTTTTGATTTTAAAAGACGTGTCATCAAAATAGATGTTTTCTGTACTCTTAGCTTCCCTTTTTGTTCGGCTGGGCTTTCGTTTGCTTTGTGCTCGTTTGGCTGTTCATTCCGCTTTTGCTGTTCATTCGGTTTTTGGGAGTTTAATAAGCAAACCACGACGGCAACGACAACGAGTACAGTGGCTGTCTACGTACGTTATAACTCTTTGTTCATTTCTTTACCGTTCTTTACAAAACAACAACATGAAAATAAAAGAAAGAACGTGAAATACGACGGCCAATTTTTAGAACTCCTTTTTCGAATTTTGACGCTGTCTTAGATATGCTGTTTGGAATATCTCTGACAGCAAAAATATCGCGGATCCGTTACCAGAGGATTGATCATCATAATATAGGGTGAAATATTTATCCGTCGAAGACAGTGGAGCGGCTGTCGAAAACTTGCGTTTTTCAATATGTTTTTTTTGTGTACCAGAGAACGCTATATCCTATATTATGATCTCTGACAATGATTGACAAACTTAATGAATCTAAATTCTTGCGAGATTCGTAGTTCGAATATAAAGTGTCCTTCAGTGGCGTTGTTGCTTAAACACCCTTTTGCTGCTTCTGCTGTGCGCAGTTTACACTACCAACGGAACTTCAATAAGATCAAACAAATCACACGAAAGCCACCTGGGGATAGTTTTTTTTCTTTTACTTTTGCGCTTGTTTTTCTGTATTTTTTTTTTCTTCTTCTTATTTTGCTTTTGCTTGTACTTTTTTACTTTATATTTAGTAAAACCCAAAATAAAAACATCCAAAATATAACCGAATTTGCAAGTTGCTGAATTGTTTAAATTTTCCGCGCACAGGCTAATGCAATTAACCGGAACCTTTTGCTAGGCTATGAATCTGGGATCAAAAGACGATTACTAAACTTTGCACGGTAAAAGAGAACATGATCCAACCCTTACCTGCCAGGATCAACTAGGCGGTAAACTTTGCCGCCAGTTTCTGTGCTACTTGGAAGGCTTGTAGAGAGAATGTACAGCTCACCTAAAAATAAATAATTATAATAACCTGTTTTCCAATCAAGTTCATCACAGCAATATGTTTTAATAATGAAGAATTGTATATAATTGATAAGTATACCTCCTTCGTCTTCGCCAAAAGACAAAATGTAGCGCTCAAACTCCCCACTAAGCTTATTGGTGCAGTACTTGCCATCACCAAAGCAAATTTCTTTATCTTCCCAAAGTCCTGTTGTCTTGTTTTCGGTCAGTGTGAACATGCGGCTGTTGAAGAAAATATAATTACTAAAAAAACATCAAAGACGTCAGTCTTACAACATTGCCACTTCATTTAGCATAAGCCAGTGCATTTATATCGGCATCCGAAATAAATTAAATAAATTGGAATTGGCAGTGGCACATCCCGCGGAGAGGCTCTTCGTTCGCTGTTTCCAGGTCGAATTTGAATTTGCAGTATTGATTCTTGTGGAGGGATAAAAACCGGAGAACTCGAAGAAAAANAAATAAATTGGAATTGGCAGTGGCACATCCCGCGGAGAGGCTCTTCGTTCGCTGTTTCCAGGTCGAATTTGAATTTGCAGTATTGATTCTTGTGGAGGGATAAAAACCGGAGAACTCGAAGAAAAACCCTCGGAGCAAGGCGAGAACCAGCAACAAATTCAACCTTGTCTACGATTGGAACCCGAGTCACATTGGTGTGGGAGACAAACACTGCGCCATCCTTGCTCGCCACAAACAAAAGAAAATACGGGGCGCATTAATTGGCATCATTGGCACACCACATTACATTAGTTAGTTTTACTCAGCTCGATCAGCTTTTTAGTTATTCTGAGTAAATGTTACCTTTATTTGTATTAATATGTTACGCTGTCATTTAAGTTTAACTTTTAATCTGGTAATAAAGCTTGTTGTTGTTGTTATTACTACAGGGCGCATTGATTAGGCTTCCGTAAACCACAATTGAATGACTTACGAGGTCATTGTGTCTCCAAATATGTACTTGCCATACAAATTTGGGTTTTGACATCCGCGGTACACATAACCTCCCACAACAGATTTGCCGACTGAGTGATTGTAGGCAAAAATTGGTGGAATGGCATCACCTAAAGAAAAAACAATCATAACACGCGTTAAGAAAAATGTCTTCTTCTTCAAGACGATTGCAGTTTAAAATTTCTTTTCGTATATCTACTTTCCGCCACTCATTGTATACACGCAGTAGTAGTATTAAGGGTTTTCATGGCGTCTCAGGCAAGTCGTTAATCCGAGATTCCATTCCCGGCTGTTGCAGTTAATTAGCTGATGTAATGCTGACAGCGTTGTTTCTTTTATCAATTCTCCTTTTTTTAAGAGAGTGCTTTCCAATTCTGCAATACAAGAAACCCATGGTGATTATTTTCTCATCATGATTCTATTTATCTGCGACTTCTATTTCTATTCCCTCGTCATATACACTACCTCTAGAGTTTTCTTGGGTTAGGGGCATTATTTTGACTTGTTATACTTTTTATTTTAGAACCAGTCATAAGTGTGCACCGACCCATTCTCCCGTATGGAATGTTCAAATTAGAGGCTGTTGGAAATAAACGACAGAAAATTAAATAAACAAAAAACTTACTTCAAGCACAACACAATGTAACAGAGCTGTTTGTAAAGACCTCCGAATCACTTTTCTTTGCGTTTTTACCTCGTAAAGACCCTGAACAACTTCCTTATTTTTGGAGTACACGGATTTGGATGTCTCCAAGTCCCACCAGCGGCTTGCGCTCGATTAACTTTCTTTTTGGTGAGTACTTATTAAAAATGCACGCTACGCCCCTGAATCTAGTTGATTTTACGATTTGTATTCTTATGTTTTCTTTAAGGTATTCGCGAAATTTACACAAGATACTTACGTAGCAGTTCATTGTCATAACACAGATCCTTGTCATAACATTCAAATCCTTCATATCCTCGCCATCCGTAATTTCCTCCGTTTTCTATGATGTCAATTTCCTCGTACTTGTTCTGACCCACGTCTCCGCAGAATATCCTGCCTTTGCCTTCTCCGGTCTTTCGATCTCCCCTGTCTACCGAACATCGCCACATGTTACGAACGCCAAAAGCGTACAACTCTGATCGAATCCCTGGGGAACCTATGAACGGATTATCCGAGGGAATTTTGTAGAGATATCCCCGTGCGTCAATGTCAATACGGATAACACTTCCAAGGATAGTCGACCTTTAAATAGATTACAACACTTGGTCAAAAAGATGACAAGCGGACAGAAAGGATTTGAGGTGAAGAATTAAATAAATATTAGTTTCGTCCAGTTGTATGACGAATACATTCACTTATAATACCATTCACTGATAATTCATGTGAATTTCGTTGGTACGCATGTTTAGCGCGGTAAGGTCCCAGTCTTACCTTCGTTCGCAAGGTTTTCTACG